TACTTCAAAAATTATTGGTTTAATTTTGAAAAATTAATTATTTAACTTCTATTATAGCATTTGCAGAAAAGATTTTTTAGTTGGACAGCCCTATACATTCTCATTTCCTAAGAGATTCATGATACTTTCCAAATTTGTTTTATCAATAATAAAAATTTTAATTTTTGAATTTTGGTTTTTGAAAACTTTTATTGACATTTTTTATTATCAAATAAATAGACACCATAGGATATGATGCTTAATTAAAAAAGAAAAAATTTGAAAAATTAAAATGAAAATCTTTTCAATTGTCATATTTGAAATGATAAAGGTGTATTTGTTTATTCTGTTTAAGGTTATCAATACATAGAAATTTGGCTTAAAGATATTTTTTTTGGAATACATTTAGGTATTTTATATTTTGTGATAAAATAAATATTGTAAATTTTGGAGAAATTTTGAAATTCTGATCGACATTTAAAATTTATTATAAAAACGCTTTTTATCTGTTATTTTAAATGAAATTGCAAAGGATAATTTTATTTATTTATATTTTTTTTGTGACACACACCAATGTCATGTATGTATGTATATATTCATATTTATATAAATTTTTAGCTGATACAAAAGTTCAGTGGAAAATTTTTCTGTTTGATGTTTTTATGTCAATTGGCAAATTAGTGCTGATAGTTTGAATTGTTAAGCACACAAAAGGTTGTATTAGATAGTAGCGTTTAAAAATGTTCAATTATGTTGATAGATTGTTGAAAATTATTAATTAAAATTAACAATAAACATAAAGAGGATGCTAAATAAAGTTGGGTCAAACCAATGGTTTGTATTGTAGTACTTTTCTCTTCAACAATTAAAAATACTCCTTTTAAAAACAATCTGTGTATATCTACACCAAACTATTAAAATTATTTTCATTCATATACGAAACCATTTCTAGGATTGCATATATTTAGGATGAAGGATTTATGCAGTCTTTGAAATAAAGCAAAAATTCATATAAAGAGGGGTTAACATAATGCTTGATTTTAAGGGTTATTTGCCTGAGTTAAGACAAATAATTATATTTTTGAATGTCATGGAATTTACCGTTAGCTTTTTGCGTTTATAGAAATTTCAAAAAGCTTGCATTTTCGGAAATATAAGGTTTCAAAAATTCAAATTTTACAAATTTCAAGAGGCGATAACTCGAGAGGGGGTGGAGATGGAAAAAATTTTCTTCTAACGAAATAAACTATTTATTAAGATCTAAAAGTTGCTAAAATTTCAGGTTCCTGCAAAAAATTTGGAAAAAATGGATTTTAGATAACGGTAAATTCGAACGGCCATTGTGCTTTTTTAAAGTTTAACTATAGTATGCCGCGGTGGCAGATGCAAGCCACTGTCTTTCTGCGTTTGCAAAATTTGAAAGATGCTTAAAATTTCACTGCAACAAATAGTTAAAAAATGGCATTTTTAGGGTTTTGGGGAGTATAAACTTCTTGAGGCGGGAGATAGGTAAAAATTTTCTTCTGCGGAAATAAATTTATATAGTAAAGATCTATGTACGTATTAAATTTAAGCTTTCTATCTTCAAGGGTGTAGAAGTTCTGTAAACATATCTACGGACGGACGGACTGACAGAGTGAAATTAATAAGCACTTTTTCCCAAAAAATTTTTGGAAAAGTGCTAAAAAGGATTAATTTGAAAAATGTATTTTTTTTTTTAATATTTCTTTTTCTCTTAAACAAAAACTAGCATTTAATTCAATTATGTGATTATTTAATTCCTACTGATCTTGGTCGGTTTCTGAGGAACTCAGACTGGTTCTAATGAACGAGAAGAGAGAAATCCGACGGCAATATAATGCGTCTAGGTAGCTTAAGTGTACCCTTCGGGACGCCGCGCACCCTACCTACCTACCTACCTTATTTAATTTACAAAATACCTTCAAATTTTATTGTTTCAGAGCATGTCATTAAAAGCATGTGCAATTTTATTTAGCATGTGCGTTCAGTTTTTTTTGAACCCATTTTTATTATCTTTTTGCATTCCTTGTTTTATTCCATTCTCTTTATACCAATGCATTTTATTTCTAATATTGTAAATAAAAAATAAAGATTAACAGTTTTCTCGTTTTTGCATTAGAACTACGTAATAATTAAGACTAAACTATCAATTTCCGAATTATGCTATTATTTTTCCCATTCAATAAAATTTTGTTCAGTTAATAACTTTCTAGTTCAATCTATTTTTATTAAAAATTTCGAATTTTTTCTAAATGTTCGCCATTAATTTACTAACTAAATTCGGAAGGTTTCTGAAAATCGCAAAAATTTTGAATTGAATTTTTATATTACAATGACGAATGCGGGAAATTTATACACAGTTTCAGCTGAAACTTTTTAAAATCAAATAAATAATTCTATGTTTATGATTCGAAATGGAAAACATTGGTGGCAGAAATGAGGTATCTCGGTACAGCGTTGTTGTACCTAACTAAAATTATTCACACTATTTCTCATTGAGTTGTTTCGAAACACCCCGATCTTTTATAATTTTGAAAAACTTTGGGCAAGACATTTTTCACATCATTTTAAAAAAAAAAGCTAGACATGTAGTACAAAATTTCCCCAGCTTGTTTAAGAAATCATTTTTATCTATACTTATAATTTAAGCAAATTTTTTAATAATATTTTTTAAATTCGAATTTATTAAAGATTGCATTTTGCAACATACGACAATGACTTAATAAGCCATATTCAATTGATAATGTAAGGCGTTAATAATGCTGCAATAAAAATATAAAGGGTAAAGTGGTTTTTAAATACAATTCAATAATAACGTGTATACGAGTATATTGTGCATATCGGATTGTTCACATTAAAAATATTATAAACTAACCGATAAATATATTTAACCGCAAAATTAATAACAGGTCTATATTATATTGTACAAAATGTGGTCATTAAAAATATAAATGGCAATAATTCTCACAATGAAAAATACGACAATTTAACACACAAATATACATACATATGTATAGTATTAACCACCTATTTGAATAATAAATTAAATATAACAATAATTTTGAATACATTACTCTCTATTGTATGACAATATATACTTATATTTGAAATTTGTATATGAAAATTTATAAACATTCGTACAATATCGTACTCAATCAGTTGAAAACGGAGAGCAATTATAGAGAAATTCATTTAGTTTAAAAACGAGTATTTGCCCTATAGTAGGCATTTTGTTCTCATTTATTCCAAAATGACAAAAATACACTTAATTAAAATGAATAAAATTGGTTTGTTGCTGAATATATTTAAGTCAAATCACGTGTACAAATAATTTAATAATAATAAAATTAAATTAATAAAAATTTTTTATAATAATAATTGAAGTCATCAAATGAATTTTCTATCTTTGATTTAAGCTGGTTTTTTAATATTTTTGAAACGAAATAAATTGAATTTTAAAAATATCAATTCCATGCACAAAATGTTGGTCCCATATATGAAATTAGACTGATAACGAAAGGGTTTATTGCATTTAAAACGAGTTATCTAACATTTTTGTTGTTTTAATTATGCAAAAACTAATAATAGCATATTTAAACAGCAATATAACAGCTATATAAATTAGTATAACAAAAATTATTAACAAAAAGAACTACATAACACATCATTTTATATCCCAATTAAAAAATCTATTAATCATAGTTATGCAAATTAAACTATGTAAACCCCCTTTAATAAAATTTACGATAATAATTTCGATATCAGTTCACTAATGGTTGTTTTGTTTGTGTTCCTTTCTGTGGTTAAAGGTTTTTTATGTTTTGTATATTTCTGGGGGAATAACTAAAAGAATTATTTTTGTGATACATCACTCATGTATAACGGTACTTATATGGTATCTACATATACATAAACGTTCATACGTATTTATATTTTCTATATTTGTGCCTACTTATTTTTACACACGTATACTATTCTAACAATATTATACGTAATATTCAGTTAAATTATTAAGGAATCACTTAACAAAAGTGACACTGCACTATCATAAAAATTGAAAGAAGTATATAAATATTTTGTATTTTTATAAGACTGGAATCATCATACCACCTTATCATAATGCCTACATAATGCCTAATCATAGCCCATAATTTATTGCTTATAATGTGAAGGATTTTCAAAAATTGTGCGGTTAACAGGTATATACATCCGTGCAAGCATGTGTAATGATTTCTTTTGTATGTATATCTTTTGATGACATAGCTAATATATAAAAGAAGAACAGCTCAAATTTCTTAGTCGTTATCATTGTTTTAATAAAATTAAGTAACTATACATTTAAATCATACATAGTTGTATGTAAGAGTAGAATATAATGAGTACGTATAGTATGTCAAAAGAATAATATATTAAATAATGCTTATTAATTTATTTTTAAATTCAATTACGAAGAAAATTTTAAATTCTTAAATAAGGAAATTGATCAAAGAATCTGTCCTGAAATTATTTACCACCTTATGAGAAACACCTTGTAAAATAAAGAAAAATTGCGTCAATCAAGAGCAAATATAATATGTTTGAATTTTTGTTTGTTTTCAAAGTTATTTCATTATTTTGTTCGACCAAGTGGAAAGAAACCTTAAAAAACCATACTAATGATGAGTACATAATAATATACATATGATTCTGGTTTATTAATTTCTCTCAATTCTATTTCATCTCCAATAATTATTGTCTGCATAAAATTTACAAATATGCTTATCTTCCCGTCATACAATATGAATAATAATTTTTCTCAATTTTAGGTTAATTTCATGTTCTCCTCAATCTAAACTCTTTGTGATTATTTACTTAAACTGAAACTGAGATAAGAGAAAATAATTTTGAAGTTCTACGAGAACAAAACTAAATTAAGTTTCAACTCAATTTTAATTTTAAAATTTAAATTAAAGCTTAGTGTTAGTTTAGTCTCTTTGTTAATAACAAGTAAATTAGTCGCATTTAAAATATATTGTAAAATAGGCGTATATTGTGCCTTAAAAATTAAAAATTTATTTACAAAACAAAACCAAAAGAAAAATATACTCAATTAAATTTTTAAAAATATTAATTTAATAATGGCATTACGTTGGGGTATTGTTGGTGTCGGTCAAATATCTCATGATTTTTGTACAGCACTATCAGCACCAGGTTTTGAAAATGATCAAATTAAACATTCTGTAATTGCTGTTGGTAGTAGAAATTTGGATAGATCAAAAGAATTTGCTCAACGTCATAATATTAAAAATTATTATGGAACATATGATGAAGTTGCACAAAATAGTGATGTTGAAATTGTTTATGTTGCAAATTTAAATAATTTACATATTGAAACTTGTTTGAAAATGTTACAATATGGTAAACATATTTTATGTGAAAAACCATTATGTATGAATTATCAAGAAGCTTATAAAGTTATAAAAATGGCCGAAAAGAAAAATTTATTTATAATGGAAGGTGTATGGTCAAGATTTTTTCCAGTTTATGAATATTTAAGAAATTTATTGAAAAATGATAAAGATTTATCAGTTAAAGAAGTTTTTATTAAACATGGTTTTAAAGGTGATAATGTTGATCGAGTTAGTAAAAAAGATCTTGGTGGTGGTATCATTTTGGATATTGGTGTTTATGCAATACAATGTGCTTTAATGATATTTGGAAATATTTCACCAAGAAGTATAATTGTAAAAAATTCAAAAATAAATTCTGATGGTGTTGATATGTTTGTTGAATTTGATTTAAAATTTGATGAAACAAAAGTTGCACATATAATTTGTTCTGGTTTAGAACAATTGGAAAATAAAGCTGTAATTGTGACTAATAAAGGTGTTATTACGGTAAGTGTTTGAAAAATTGTTAGAAAACGTCAATAACTAGGTAAAATATTAATAATAGAGGTAGCTACATATTATGAGTGGGGGAATATCGTAAATAATAACAGAATTACGACATTTTAGAAATTAAAAGATAAAAAATTGCAGGTTTAAATCTACTTAAAATGTAATATGTAGATGGTATACCCAAGCATAAATTAGGTGTATAATGTACATACTTACTATCTTTTATAATTTTTCGAATAATTTTACTCTAGAATTAAAGCACTGTTTATTTGCAAATTAGTATTAAATTTAAATTGCTACTATAAATGACGTTTTTGTTATCTGTCCACCAAATTTATCAGTCTCTTATTTCAAGATATTCAAAATATTTTTCACATATTCAAAATATTTTTTAAATTAATAATGATAAGATTATGAAATTTGATAAGATGCATTATGCCTGAATATGATTTTGAAATATATAAGAATATTATAGGAGTTGGAAAAGGTGTTGAGCTTATCATTTTTACTTTATTTTAATAATAATTTTGTTATTTAGATATTAGAAATCTTATACAATATTAAGATTGGGATTTTTCATGTACAAATATTAAGTGTTTAAAGATTCAGTTCATGTTTGCTAGACCTATGAGGTGTATTCAATTCGATAATAGGTTATGTGAGTGATCTACCTCTACTTCTGCCTACGAATGGCTAAAAAGTTTTAATTTGAGCGAATTAAAGAGGTCGGATTATAAAATAATTTTAGGTTATAAAATCACTGGGATGTGAAAATTTGTGAGAACTAGTATGTTATAAAATATTGTATAATTATAATTAATTTGTTTTCTAAGGCAGGCTAGGCACCTTTCCAATAAAAACTCTATATGCCTCAGGCCATGATTATCTATGAAAGCCTGCACTAGCCTTACGCTCCTCCTAGGAGTGAAGAAAATAATTAATTTTTTGTACAATTTGCTTTAAGTTTTATTTTTGGACAAGCTAGGTTAAATTAAGAAGAAAAGTAACAAGTATGCGTATTTACGATCTTACGATATTATTTTTGTTAACTATTTTTTATATTGCAATTCTTATAATATAACAGTTAAATAACTGTTAAAGGAAAGTCATGTTGCATAATTTTAATTCTATTTATGATCGATTTTTTATCGCGGCAAATAATTTGTTAACGTAACTGAAAAAAAAAAAAAATAAAAATAAATTTGTTATAATCAATAAATTATTTGATAACGAAATTTCTTCTATATTAAAATTTTTTTTTTTAATTCTATTAATTTTTATAGATTCCAACATATTGGTGTCCAACAGAGATTATAAATTATGATAATGATGTTAAAAAATTTCCAATTCCAGAACTTGTTGAAGGCAATTATGTACATTTTATAAATAGTTTAGGATTACGTTATGAAGCTGATGCCGTTTATAATTGTATACGTTCAGGAAAGCTTTCAAGTGATATCATACCACCAAAAGATTCATTATTAATAGCACAAATTCAAGATGAAATCAGAAAACAAATTAATTGATAATGAAATATTGAATTGATAACAAATATAATTAAAATAAGAAAGAGTTTATAAGAATGCGTTCATAAATGAATCAAGAATTTTATAATTATTATTATGGAATAAAAGCAAAATAAATGTTCTATTTTTCACTTCTATACTTATTAAATTTCATATTAATTTTTTAATTAAAATTCAATTTCCATTCTAATTCTTTTCTTTCTTCTTAAACTATTCATTAATTTAATTTATAAAGATCTAAAACTGACAAACTCACTACATACTGGGATTTCTTAATAGATTTTACCAGAAACTTCGAGAAATTTTCATTTATAAACTTAAAAATATTTAATCTTCATAAATTTTAATACTTTGTATTAAAAATATTCAAATTAAACTAACAAAAACTTCGTAAAGAAATTCAATCCAAACAAAATTGAGTGATGTTTGTCCGAATGGACAAAGGCCAGAAAATGCAAGGCCAGAATAATGTGTGACAATACGTAATATATACGTATAATATTTGTATGTGAAATGCGAAATGTTATCTAAAATATAAAAATGTAACACAGAAATTGTAAAAATTTCAAAAACGTAAAATATATTAAAATTTCCATAAAGTTATAAAATAAATAAAATAACGGTTTTTTTTTATTTTTCTTTAATATTTTTGCCTCTTTGGGCCTAGACTTCATGACTCGTAGTCGCATAACGTATGCTAATATGTACACAATATAAAATGTATGTCAATGAATATGCCTTAATATTATATAAATAATTCAAGTATTACATCCGTATTTTACATACATAAATATATTTACGTATACATACACATGTACTTTTTATATATTATTGTAGACAAACTTATATTGCATTAAAATATTTTTTATTTTTCCCTTATTATTTTTGTGCAGAAATATTTACAGCTATTATTATTATTTTACTTATATAATATTCACATAAATCCTTATTTTTCTGTTATTTTACCGTTATATTATAATATTATTTTGTATATATATACGCTATCTATTTATAAGTAGATATATACAACATAATAATATCATTTTATATCTACGAACATATGTATATATTTTGACATATATACCTACTTATAAATTGCTCAACAATTTAAAAAAACATGTGATTTTTTTAGAAATTCTCATTGGAAAATAGCTGGAATATATGTACCTTAAAAAAAATTTTTAAAACTAGTAATGGTATGGGGTGTGCTATTCGCATAAACAAATAAACAGTATAATAACACTGATGAACCCTTATTTGTTTTAAATGACAGTGTATATTTGGAAAAATTTTCCCTTTCTAAAAAATTGGAAGTCATATTAATTTTTGTACAGATTATTTTATTATTTAATTTAAGAGTGTAGAAATTTGAAATTCTTACAGAGAATCTTGCAGAGAAACCTGCAGAGAAACCTGCAAGATTCTGTGTAAGAATATTTCTCTTTATATTTTGTTTTTGTGTATTTACATTTCTCTTAATTTTGGAGTACTAAAAATTTCCTGAATATAAAAATCTCTGAAATATTTCACTTTTGGGACTGAAGCACCATCTAGTTATTAATAGAATTATTATTAATCGTTTATTGATATTACAGTTTTGTCGATAAGTTTGAATACAATTTGTTGAATTAAGCAAATGGTACTGGATCTATTTGCAACCGTATCGGCGAACGAAAAGGAAATTTATTTTTAGGAAGGAGGTCGCTTTACGCCTAATAAATACACATACAAATAGGCTCATTGCGATTATATTATCAAAATGAAATGGAAAATTTCTTAAAAAAGTCAAATTACAAATTCAATTACGGTTCGATAAAGCTTTTGCAGTTATTTTTAAGTAGTCTGTAGCTTAATTTTAAACTGTAATTAAATTATTTAAGAAAAGTGCCTGCATACTTTTTACATTGTATTGATTAAAGCAATTCTACCAATTGCTCATTCGATTTTTGCACATTATTTTGCATTTTATGAAAGATAAGAAAATATTTTCTGATTTTAATCAACATCCTATAAGAACATTTAATTATTTTACCCAAAAAAAAAAGGTCACTTTAATATTACGTATAAACCATAAATATTTTATTTTACAAGCAGCACTTATTTATTCCACTGATAATTTGTATATCGACCAAAAAGGATATTTTGCACTTAATTTTCGTATTCTTCTGATATTTTTTTTTGTTTTTCCTTTGTGTAATTACTTTAAGGTAATTTTATATTGTTTCTTTCATTTGTGGATACAATTTAATGGTTGTCAATTTGTTTTTAATATCTAAAGGTGTAGATTCTTGTTATGAAAGTGTCCTGATCGAAAAGGGTATGACCTTTTTTTTACTGACCGAATTACAATCAATATGGGTGGCGTTATAATCGTACCAAATTTTCCCTACAAAGAAAGAAAACTTTTGTATCTGTTGCAATTGTATAGGTCAGTCTTGTTTCAAGTAAACTCTTTAATAACTTCCTGCATAAAAATCGATTGCAGAAACAAGATTTCTAAGACAGATTTTTCAATCCTTTCAATGACAGAGTATTATAAATAATGGACTAAGAATTTCGAAATTTAAAGTAAATTTGAGCAAAAAAAATTTTATTTCTTTTTGTGTTATGTTTGTCGACAAGTTTATATTGCAGTATATTTACACATTATTTGGAAAATCGATCATGTACTGCCTATATACCAGATTTTTACCGACCGTATTGTGTATACAATAGGTATAGGTTATGTTATGGCAATAAATTTTGCATATCGAGTTTTCGGTGGGAATGCACTTCTCCATAGTAGGGAAGTGTAAGTAGACTATTTTTAGCAACCTGTCGGTCTGTCGGTCTGTCCGTCTGTCGGTCTGTCGGTCTGTGTGTGCACGTGTGTATCTCAAGATCGGCTGAACCGATTTTGATGAAATTTTATATGTATGTTTATTTCTACCATGGCACGGATCGATTAACTTTTGGTATATATCAGGCCTCGGGAACTGCACTTTTTAGCGGGCCTGTTTTACATTTTTGAACATTTTAAAGAAAATATTCAACCGATTTACCTGAAATTTTATATATAAGCTCAGCTCGACCGTCCGCGAAAATTTCTATGTTTTGGAAGAAATCAGGCATCGGCAACTAGACGTTTACTACGGGCCAAATATACATTTTTGTGTATATAAAGAGAAATAATCAACCGATTTCATTGAAATTTAATATATGAATTCCTCGTATTAAAACAATGAACATGTAAATTTTTTGGAAAGATCAGGCATCGGCAACTAGACGTTTATTACGGGCCAAACATACACTTTTGTGTATATAAAGAGAAATAATCAACCGATTTCATTGAAATTTAATATATGAATTCCTCATACTAAAGCAATGAACATAAAAATTTTTTGGAAAGATCAGGGCTCGCAAACTGATGTGCGGGCCGATTTTACATTTTTCACCATATCTACGGAACGAATTGATGGAATTTCTTGAAATTTGGTATTTGAATTCTGGTTGTTACCGAAACTTACTGGCGAGCATTTCAGGGAATTCGGGTAGCATAAAGCGAAATTTTACTAAGAGTCAAATTTACATTTTTCTAGGTACATTAACTATAAGCTTACTAAAGTCCTAAAAAATGAAAAGAAGTATTTAACAGACATTTTTATAATATTCTGTAACACTTTCATTTAACTAGACAATACACAATGCGGTCGGTTATGTGCTGACCACATCAGATTTTTTTCATTTGACATCAATTTCAAAAACAAATAATAAAGAGGAAGAAAAAAAAAATTTTTGTCCCTTATAAAAAGAATAACCAAAATTTATGTTTTTCTTCCTAAAATATAAGAAAGGTGGAAGAGTTCGAAGTATGAAAATTGAGCTAACTTTTTGTACTTATCCAAAAAGAAAAAAAATATGGGGAATAAAGTTTTGGCGAGGAAAAGACAATGTTCTGATAGAATTTAATTGATGCTTTGATTTTATCCGTACATAGTTTGAATATCCGTATTTGTTTTTAATTATTAATGGAAAGAACTTTATGCAGAGGTATTTAAAAAACTTATTCTTATTCAGCCAGCTGCCAATTGTCTCATTATTTAATTATCTACACTAATTGTTATTGTTCAATATAAGAGAAAATTTTTATTAAGAAACGTCTTCGCATTTCAAAAATATGCAAAAGCCAAAAAGAATAAGTAGAATAATTTCAAGAGAACAAGGCTATATTATAAATCTCTTTTAAGTTATTTCATTGATCTTTGAGAAATATTTTTGTAATTTAAAGGAGCGATTGTATTTTGTTTACGTCTATAATTTTTCCTTAAGAAAACAACGATAACCAAAAAAGTCTGACATAATTAGAAACACCCAAACTAATAATAATTTTCATTTTTTACACTCACCTCAATATCCTTTCTAATTTCATAAAATATTGGTAAAAAGATAATTTTAATTTTCATCGTGGTTTTTTCCTAATTTTATCAAAAATTTTAACCAAATTTAAACCTAATTAAAAATACAATGTATATTGTTGGTAATACAGGTACAATATATGTATATTACCATATAATGTAGTCTATCTTATATACATACATTCATGTTACTTAATATTGAGATGAATAATAATCGATAAAAAATCTGATGTGAAATCTGTTTTTTGTATGTGAAAGGTAAAATTCAATTATATTTCTTAAGAAAACCACAAAAACCTCATGTATTATAGTTTTTTTTTTTAAAGTATTGGTATTGATATTATGCTTATATTAAAAATAATTTGAAAATATTAATTATAGCTAGTAATAAATTTTTTATTCAGAAATAAGGATATGCTAATTACAATAATATGGCAAACAGCTGGTATATTCTGTAAGGGAAGGTAATTGTATTATAAGTGAATTATTTATAACACTTTCGATATTATTATAAATTGAATTTCGTTACTAACATTATAATTCATTTGCACAAAACGATGATAATTGATTGCTTGAAATCTACGGATTTAAATATTATAGAAATTTATTTAAGTTTGATATATTTAACATTTCAATTCATTATTTAAAATTCTCAAAACTATATTACTGAAAATAATTGAAAACTAAAGTTATACTATGTGATCGAAAAGATTTTCATTAAATAATTTAATAGTACTTGTCTGTACTCTAAAATTTTAA